AAAATCATAACGAAAGCTTATAGTATGTTGGGTTTCATTAAGAGGTTCAGCTATAATTTTCAAGACCCATACACTATTAAACTATTATATATTACATACGTAAGACCTATTCTGAATTAAGGCGAACCAGCCCAAGGCTGAAAGCCTACCTAATAAAGATAATAATTCTGAATTACTGTAACCTAGTATGGAATCCGTACATTACCTTACACGAGGAACGCATAGAATCCGTCCATAAACAATTCCTTTTACATGCCCTTCGCAAATTGAATTGGACCGCATTTCCTCTTCCATCATATGAAGCACGCTGCATGCTCATCAACTTAGAAACCCTTTTTTTATAAACTACATTTGTGACGAAATTAACAGACACAGAATGCACGAAATTGATCTTTTTGTTACTAGGCAAATCTTTGTCATTAAAATGAATGAGGTTTTGACGAAGGATGGAAGTGATTCGTATAATTTAATTGTGTCTTTCTTTTCCGGCTTTGGTTCAAATAGCTAAATCTATTGATCTAGACTGAATACTTTCAGGCCATCGATAGTGGAATAGCGTAGGATCCACATTGTAAAGATGCCCTATTTTCAGCTTTTCTACAGGCTGGAGTTGTTGTTTGAACCATTTAGTTTATCAATTTAATTTATCTGTATAAAAATTATTCACAAGCATTCTTCCAGGTTAATTCAAGAATAGTTTGATGATGGTAAATCTTCCTAATGTTCACATTACAGTTATGACGCGGTCCTGTCAGCCTCTCCGCGCATCAGGCTGTTATTTTTCAGTAACTCCACATAATTGTGATTTCATATCTTCTTCCTTCAGGATGGATGTTTAAGATACACATACTTTGCTAGCTGACAAAATGGGGTCATTGCTGTATAATTATTCTCTTTTTTCAGCCTTCATTCACAGTGGATCTATTGATTTAAATTATTTTGAATTGGTTTTCTGCAAATTTTGCTCATGCCCATGCTCTAAGTTTATTTTCAGCTTTTCGATGATGGAAAGTCTTCAGATTTATATTATAATGATCCACCATTTTGTTTAGGCTTCAGGAAAATCCAAGTATAATGCATAATAACACTGATTCATTTAAAACCATGGTCGTATCACTTATCAAGGTGAATTCTGATCTAACGCACCCAACTTACTAACAAAATCTCCAATCCTGTGTCTTTTGTTGGGGTGCAGACATAAACACGGCCCACAAACAACAAAGGTCACTCTAATATTCCTTCCCTACTCCCACCTTATTGCAAGGACGTGGCCGGCGCCGTTATTTATCTACAAAATATGGAGTCACTGAAACTTGTGCAATGAGAATGGACGGTCACTCCCAGTCCCATTCAGTTGATTAATCATTCAGCAACCATTGATATGTGCAGTCAGTCTAAGCTAAGCTAAGCTACGCTAAAATGAATGAGATTTTGCGAAGGTTACTTTGAGGATCAAGTCTGTCAGTGACTATGTGAAAAACAATATTGTCAATATCGTATGGATGACAAATCTCAGCACTGGCTATCTACTACTAAACGTTCAATTTACAGTGTACTAGTCACCTTTCGTGTCTAGTTTCGGTAAAAATCGTGTCTTAGGGATAATAGAAGAGTGAACCATATTGTTAATTTTAATATTTGCTTATAGATAAATCTTTATACGCAAAACAAATTGCATAAACATTAAATGTAAGGGTCGATTTCTCTGCATTCCTCTGCAATTTCAATTCTTGCAATGGACTGTAGCGTACAAGCAATTTATTTCAGAACGAATATTTTCGTATTAAACCTTCACAAGATGATTTTCTAGCCTCAGTGATTTGGGAGAAATAAATTTAGCTAACATAAAAATTACAAACAAAAATTAACAAACCTTCCGACTACATTGTTCATGTGGTGCAGCATTACGAATTCTGCATAGTTTGAATGCAAATATGTTATAGAATCTTATATTTTCCAGTTGAATGCGGCTTAATTTATTGGCGTTTCATCCTTAAATTTCTAATTGCACTGATATTGGGTGTCACGCACAACATATCAAAAAGACTGACAACTCTGAAGCTTTAATATACAAATGCTGAAAGACAAGCAAAATCTCAATATCTATCACTAAATTCTTAAAACTTAAAACGAACGAACAAAGAGGTTGGGTATTTGTCCTTTTTTTCCACACGGCCACTGATACTAGCTCAGTGAGAGAGCCATTTTTTGAAAGAGATGTTTAGGAAGGTTGCGCAGCGCTGAGGAACATAAGTTTTTAGAAATTTCATTTTCATCTGAGTAGAAATGACGCTCTCTCTCTCTGAGATAGTCTCATCGGCCATGTGACGTCAGGCACATCCCAACAAACAATTTTAGCTGATTAGAAGCTGAAGAAGCTTATTTTCGCCTGAATAAGTTTTAATCCAGCTTTCTGTTTGTTGGGATGATGGGACAGCCAACTTTGGAGCATGCTCAATGATTTCTTCGATATTCGAAGACACTGTTCGTTTGCATACAAAAATTAACTATTCTCCATTGTCATCGGCTAAACTGAAATCCTGTGACGAGGATGAATATGATTATGTATATATGTGATTGAAAGTATCTATAGTTCATGGTAAAAACATTAGCATAGTGTAATAATATCATACTTATGCCGCGGATACACTTGGATGACAAACTATGAGCATGAGCATGATTTGTATAATAATTAGAATTACTATACAACAACTATACAAGTGTGACCATGGATGTGCTCATAATTTATTATACAAATAATGCTTATGTTCATAGTTTGCCATACAAGTGTATCCGCGGCATTAGAATAATAATAATTCATAATAAGTCAGTTAGGACTGGTTTAGCTGATCATCTTCTTCAAAGAATTTCGACATAATAATATGAGAAGACGGTGTTGGCTTTTCTGTACCACCAAATTACAGTGACGGGCACAAAAAAAGATTCACCCTCAATAAATGTAAACATTTAAACAAAAAAATATTGCCGTAAAATAAAAACCAGAGGTTAATTTGGCCTTCATAGTATTAATTAGTAAGTCATTGCAGAATTTCAAATAAATAAGATTTATGTTAAATAGTATTTTAGTTGGCGTGACGTAAAAAAAGATCCACTTTTTTTTAAATCCAAACCAAAACAAATGACTAATAGTCAATGTGACTTCCCTTCGCTTCGATGACAAACTGCAACCGCTTTGGCATGTTTTCCACCATGTGTTTGAAGTGCTGAGGACCCAAATCATCCCAGCCTTTTGCAGTGCTGCAAAATATGTTTGCTTGTTGCTAACACCGGTTTTCTCCACACAATTCTCGAGGATAGCCCAAAGATTTTTGATTGGATTCAAATTGGGGCTTTGGGGCTGGCCATTCCATGGGCTTTATGCAACAGGACCGGTAAGTGTTTTATTTGCCGTGTGATTGGGATCGTAATTCTGCTGAAACGACTCTTCCAAATTTTCACAAAGAATATCGATATCACGTCTTGTTGAATTTTTAGAGATGAACTAGCCAATGGCTAAAAATCTCTTAAATAAAGATTTAAAAAAAAGTTTCTTGTTGAAAGCTCGAACTTTGATTCATCCGACCAGACAACACGTTTCCAGAACTCCTGCGGCTTGTTAATGTGATTTCTTGAGAAGATCAGCAGTTTTTTTTTTCTTGTTGGCCTTGCTGATAAATGGTAGCTTCCGAGCAAAATGGCTCTTCAAAGCATGTTCAGCAATGCGTTATCGAATGGTTCGATAAGAAATCGACAAATTTAGCCTTTCTTTCACTCTTTTTGACGTAGGAATACGTCTGTGATTTCTATTTGGAGGTACACTTTGTGACAACCGAAAATGGAACATGTAACAAAATAATGAAAGATTTTGAACGTTAATAACTCAACTGCCCCTGGACCAATTTCAATAAAGTTATCATCAGTCAATCATAAATATTCCAACGCAACTGCATCTGTCATTTTTCAAAATTTTAATATAGAATATTGCACGAATGTGCAACTGTTGCTATGATAATTAAAATTATCACCGATTGCCTGCCAAAAGCGATTTCCGTAACACAGATTTCAAAGTTGAATTCCATTCGGTCTCATCAAACGGTGTTTATTAAATCACCACATTGTGAGTGGTGGTGTTCCAGTACACAACGAAAGGCTGCCTGTAAGCAGCGGGCTGCAGCCCACATAAGCATCCATAGAAAGAGGATGAAGCCACACCACTATTGATCGGAATCAGTAACACATGCTCCTGCTGCAGTTAACAAATAAGATTTCTTATATAAGACTACGTAGTCCTACGTCACCATTGCGGTTTTTAATCTCACGGATTATACTGGTGTCTGTTCGAGAATCACTTGTTCGTTTTTGCCCTCTTCCAGATTGATCAGCAACACTTCCAAGCAATTGATACTTCAAATAGATCTTCTGAACTGCATCACGGCTTATCCCATACTTTTCGGCTATTTTACTGAGCGATTCGTTTCTTTGGCAAAGTGGTATGAATTTTAACAAATTATACTAGAGCAGACTTAAAACAAGTTTTGGAAATAGCTTTGATATGATAAATAGACATTTATAGGCGTTTAACTTATATTTGAGTGGGTGGATCTTTTTTGTGCCAGTCACTGTAAGTATAGAATAAATCTTGGTATGTAGACCCCTAATAGCGTTCAATCGTAAACAAATGATTTGTGTTTTTTCCACTAGTAAGATTTCTGCACCATTTACAACTTTTTCCCTCCCTAACTAATTTAGTACCTACCCGTTAATGTTTACAATTCACTCAACTTCCCTGCACGTTACTTGAACCACTCACCTTCAAAGCACATCTTTGCATGTCATCACCGCGCAATTACAACTCTTGAATCACGACAAAAACTCAACGCACCGTCACTCTAAGTAGAATGAAATGTGTAGAGGTCAATTGCCTCGCATATCCATTAAGAATTGTACGTCACTAGCGTGTACCTAATAGTAGCTAATTCTACCCATTCTCGCAATTTCAGATCTACCCATGATCGAAGGCCAAACCGAGCCGGCTAGTCCGAGCGATACGCATTTTGAACTACGCAAGATGCTCCAGAAGATCCTGGATGAGGTCACCAAGTTACCAGAACTGTTTAATCAAAGCGGTCTTCCATTGCGACCGGAGGAGCATCTGCCGTATTTCAGCCCCAAGAAGTACGAGCAGCTGCTGGCGAACGCTGTGCTCAATAAGGTAGGTTCGTTTTTTAGCTTGATTCAATTATCATTATGGTTCATTGGAGTGAGTTTTGTTTTTTAATTTTAAATGGGTCATTGGGCTAACGTAAGCCGAATGTGGAAGGTGGGAGTTGATAATTCCATTCACGAGCGTATATGGATAGAAGCAAACTGAACGAATATCCCTTGACCATTGGCATGTTTGTTCGGGTTAAGCGTGTGGAAAGGTACCGATAAGTCGTGGTTAGCCGCAATTGTTATGGGGTGTCAATTTCGTAATCGCTTACATTTGAAACTGTTCCGTATATGTATGATGGTTTTCCGATGTTACGCGACGAAGGAAACGTGACAGGCACCCTATTGCAGTGGAAGTTGGAAATGATTGATTTTCTTTGAATGCGCACGTGAACGCATTTAAAATAATCCTTTCCAGTGAAGGTTTCGGTGTCAAGAGCGGACAAAACATAGAAATACATAACATATCGTTACAAGCGGTTGACAAAATGAACAATTAAATGCATTTGTATGACTATGTAGGTACTCACGTTTTCTATCTATGTGTATCTAGGTATTCATGTTTTCAACGGTAAATCTTCACGCATTTTTTTTATTTGACGTTGGACCGGTTTGATCACAAATTTAAGTGTCGGAAATTTTATAAAAATAAATCTTTGGCTTCTACATCAAGGGCTATCATTTTTTAGAAATTAGCTTGTATACAATAGCCCTTTTTAAATGGTAGTCTAAACCATTTTTTTTGTAAAAAGAGTATGCATAGTTACTCAAACCCATAAGGACTTTGTTTTCTGCGCGGAAATGAAAAAGTTTAAGGATAGAGAGAAGACTTAGATCAATTTAATTCCACTACCTTAATTTGCTACGCACCAACTATTTGCAGACTTCTTCAGCGTCTTCTGTTTCTTTACTTAGGTATTCCACTATAGACGCCAACTTCATCAGGATGAAATAGTTTTTATTTGAAATACTTTTTTCCTATCAAAATTGCGCTGGTAGATAGTAAGTTGCGTTTCAAAAAAAAATAAAAATAATTCTTCAAAACGATGATGGTTTTTAGAAAAAACAAGTGTTTAAAATCTTTTTTTTATACGCGCTGTAAAAATCTCATTGTTATTCCATTTTGATTAAACTGGTTGAAAATTAATCGGCTCTATGCACTGGGGGAGTGCAGGATACATGACGTAGTGTTTGGCCCTAGTAGTCATCATATTGGTACTATTTATTACAAAAAGGGACCTTATCGGGCTATTAACGGCCTCGGGTATTTTTTGAAGCGGGACGACGTATAGGTCGACAAATCAATGCTGGATGCCATTTTGGAAATCAAGATGGTGGCCATCAGTTTTAGAAATACTTTCAAATACCGTTGAATATGGGTACTTTCGGAAAAAAAAATCGATCGAGGCGTGTACAGAAAAAAAAATTCTATGTTTGCAACCAATTTGGATCCCAAGATGGCAGACGCCTGTTTTATAAAAAAAAACTGTGAAATACCCTACAATATGGGTGTTTTCGCCGTCACTGTGGAATTAAAAAACCTTACTAAATAATAAAGTCCCCATTCTGAAAATACTCATATTGTAGGGGATTTGTAAATTTTTCTAAAACCGATAGCCTCCTTCTTGGATTCCAAAATAGGCATATTCGACTACTACGCGTAGTTCCCGTTTCGATAGTACCCATATTGCAGGGTATTTGACTAAAACTTTTACACTTATTAGAAAGTGTGATAAAAGTTCGAATTTCCTTGTATTCATTCTGGTGTCTTCGATGCACTTATTTCTTATTGTGCAAGCAATAAGTGCTCTGAAGACACCAACACGATTGGACCGAAACATGCTCTTTTATCACACATTTCGAATTTTTAAAGCAGTCTTGTTTCAGATGCAATAAGCAATATTTTCTACCACTACACGTCGTCTCCGTTCTGAACAGACCCATATTGTAGGATTTGACAGTTTTTTTTTTTCAATTATCGATGGCCGCGATTCATAGAAGTGGTGTGTCATAAAATAAGGAGCTCGTTTGCCTGGTGGCAAACGTTTTTGCTTACTGAGCACAAACCGTAGGTTCAACCCCAAGCTCCTTCGCGTTATTGGATTGTTGGGACATCAATTCAGCTTATCATTTACCAAAACTAATCCTGCTGTAAACCCAACCATTTTATCCAACATCCTAGTGATTTCTCGTGGATGTGCAGAGGAGTTCTTGCCTTCCAACACATTCCTACCCATTCTTTTCTTGACCTGCGTTCGTGCGTGGCTGGCAATGATATTGCCTAGTTTGAAATATCCTGTTTTTACTCATTAAGGATGAAAGCTAGTCCCAAGCATCGTCTATTGGTTCTCTGTATAATTGCAGCTGGTTTGGCAATAACAGAGTAAAGGGTGATACGGTCAAAATTTGGTCAATATCAACTTGACGTATTTCTTTCAATTTTGCATTTAAAAAACCTGAACACCCCTCATTTTGAAGGTGTGTATGTGTAGAATGTTGCTCCTATTTTGATTTTGGAATTCACTCTTCAGTTGTCAAAATGCCGTCCAAGCAAGAAGAGCAGCGTATCAAAATTTTGCTCGCGCATCGCGAAAATCCGAGCTACTCGCACGCAAAGTTGGCAAAATCGCTAAAAGTTGCCAAATCAACCGTTACAAATGTAATTAAAGTGTTTGGGGAACGTTTGTCGACAGCCAGGAAGTCTGGATCGGGGGGAAATCGAAAACCGGAAGCCGCTGAGACGACAAAGAGAGTTGCCGGTAGTTTCAAGCGAAACCCTAACCTCTCTCTCCGAGATGCCGCAAATAAGCTGGGTGTATCGTCTACAACCGTGCATCGAGCCAAAAAACGAGCCGGACTATCGACTTACAAGAAGGTAGTGACTCCAAATCGCGATGATAAACAAAATACGACGGCCAAAGCGCGATCCCGGAGGCTGTACACGACGATGCTGACGAAGTTTGACTGCGTGGTAATGGACGACGAAACCTACGTCAAAGCCGACTACAAGCAGCTTCCGGGACAGGAGTTTTATACGGCAAAAGGAAGGGGGAAGGTAGCAGATGTTTTCAAGCACATGAAACTGTCAAAGTTCGCAAAGAAATATCTGGTTTGGCAAGCCATCTGTACCTGTGGCTTGAAAAGCAGCATTTTCATACCTTCCGGGACTGTCAACCAAGAAATTTACGTGAAAGAGTGTTTGAATAAACGTCTGCTGCCTTTCCTGAAGAAACACGGTTGTTCCGTACTGTTTTGGCCGGATTTGGCATCTTGCCATTACGGTAAAAAGGCCATGGAGTGGTACGCCGCCAACAACGTGCAGGTGGTTCCCAAGGACAAGAACCCTCCCAACACGCCAGAGCTCCGCCCAATTGAGAAATACTGGGCTATTGTCAAGCGGAACCTAAAGAAGACCAAAAAAACTGCTAAGGGCGAGCAGCAGTTCAAGGCAAACTGGCTTTCTGCGGCGAAGAAGGTGGACAAGGTGGCTGTACAAAATCTGATGGCAGGTGTCAAGCGTAAGGCCCGGCAATTCGGATTTGGAAAAGCGGAAGCCTAACTGAATATTTTTCCTGAATTTTATACTAATTGAACTTGAAAAAGAAATTTAATTTGATTTTTTAAATAAACGATTTCACCGATTTACACGCGTTTTCCCTTGACCAAATTTTGACCGTATCACCCTTTAGCAAACCGTGGGCGATTAATTATGCTTATCAAAAATTCATCAAAAATGTGCCACAACGTTTCAAGAAAAAAAAAATGTAGTAACTGTTACAGTGTTTTTTTTTTTTGCGGTTCTGATAATTTGCTGTGCTAAAAAAATGAATCACCAAAAATGTATGATCGTAAAACTAAATTAAAGGGAATTACCATAAAAAAATGCTTCATAACTCGGAAAATACTGGACAAAGAATTTTGGATTTTCCATCGAAGTTGCTAGTTTTTAAAATTTAGCAACTTTTACTGAAGCCATGATTCCTCTATACATACCTTCAAAGATTAAAATTTGTTTTTTCATTGTTATCATCGTAAGACATGACTAATTTTTGTTACTTTCAAATAGTGGAAGATGATTCTGCAAACAAATCTTCAGAAGATACTTTATGGATAAAATGAAACGGTCAGGATCTAGGATCCTCATTGGTATTGAAATGAAAGGTATTGTGGTCTCATAATATTCTATTCCTTTTTTTTTAATCCGTCAGCCGGTTCGGGAGATATGGCTGGAACATGTTCCGGTCAATACGGGTTACTAACAAAAATTGAATGTTGAATAAGAGCAAAATCAGGCTTGAATTTGCGTTTTTAGCTAAAAATTGCTGATTCAGCTTTTAATTAGCTCATATTGTTTGATTAGACGTGAGTTTATAATTAGCCTGAAACTTGTTAAACCCATCAAGTGGCATCTCAAATGACATGATAATTCAAAAAGAAGATCAATAGTGGCCGTGTTGAGTGTTCTGCGGAAGTGACCAGTATCTAACTTGTGTCAAAACCCATAATACGACGTCTTAAATCACATGATAAATGTTGTGCATTGTGGTTAAATCAAGTGCCCAGAACCACACTGGACACAACCGAATATGTTCTTCCTGGTCTGCCATGAGCTATTGTTAAGATCAATCAAGCGCTTTGGAATTACGAGTACTGCATATAAATGGTTTGAAAGCTATTTGTCTGACAGAACTTAACAGACTGTTTTTAATGATTCTTTTTCCAGTCCCGTGGAGAATAACCTTGGAGTGCCCCAGGGAAATGTATTAGGGCCCCTGTTATTTATTATGTATATTAATGACTTGCGACGTGTTTTACGATTTTGCGACATTAATCTTTCTGCAGATGATACTGTGTTATTCATTGCAGCTAAGGATTTAGATGATGCCGTTTTACACTTGAATGAAGATTTGCGTTCTCTAAGTAGATGGTTGAAGTATAATCAGTACCCGTAACGTGGGTAGATCACCTTTTCGTGGTACGTTACGGGATGTAAGATGTACCACCGATTCCTAGTCCTGATTACTTCAAACTAGGGGAACAGGATTTTTCAGTAATCCAAGGAACACATCTTAGTCCTTATTACTTTTTATGCCTTGTTGATAGTGAAAAGACTTGGCTTTGTGCACGGAGGATGATCTTAAAACAAGGAAAAAAATAAGTTAGTTGTCTTCAGATGAACTACTTCAAACTAGGGAACAACGAATAGAAGATTAGGAATCACATAGATATGTGATTCCTAATCTTCTATTCGTTGTTCCCTAGTTTGAAGTAGTTAAGACTAGGGTTCTGATGCATGGTGATTATCGGTGTCATACCTTAATTTTGTTGTTAAGGAATCCAATTTTGACTGACAAAGGAGCGCGCCTTTGGAGGGTGTTTCAACACTCCGAAGGGTATAAATAGCGGGACCTTTCAATTAGAGTCGGATCCTTGCGATAAATGCAAGAGTGGCAACTGTAAAAAAATCGAATACTTCATCATTTCTCAATAATGATGGAGTAATACGACATGCACTAAACTAAGGACACTGGATATACTACAATAGGTCAATTTACTGGTCGCAGTAGTGTTAGGTCCCGAACAGAGGGGAAAAAATAAATAATCAGTTGAAATCGAATACAAGTAAAACTAAATTTATTGTATTATTGCGAAATCGATTAAATATCTTGGCGAGATTATTGATGACAAACCTAAGTTCAACTCTCACATTGACAATTTCATCAAGAAAATGGCCAAGAAGTATGGAATTCTATGTCGGCTGAAAAACGATTTAACTATTGCCAGTAAAATACAGCTATACATATCAATCACCTCTCTCTTTTGCCCTTCCATTTTATTTCTGGCCAATGAAACACAAATATCGAGATTACAGCACTTGAAGATTAAGATAAGGCGAGTAATAGATTTGAGGTGTAATAGATTCACTCTCTCAACTTTGATGCTAAGCAATTGGTGAAGCAAAGAATTGTACATTTGACTATGGTGCTCATTTTTAAAGCAGGTAACGGTTTGCTGCCTCGATATTTGTGTGATCGAATTGAAAGAGGAAGGGACTTTCATAGATGAAATACTAGAAACGCGGTTGAAATAAGAACACCGCATATCATTGGGAAATTATGTTACTTCGCATCCCTGAATGCAGACTTGATCAAAATATCAGTCGGAATTTCAAAAGGTAAGATGGGTCAGATCTCACCATAGGTGGATGAATTTAGGTCTTCAATCGATTTGAACTCCAAATGCGAGATCGGAGGTGAATTGTATCTTGAACCGTGTTTGTTCGCCTTAACTTTCCAATAGAAATTGAATTGGCATTTCAAATGTTAGGACGATCCAATGATAAATAATTCCTTTGTTTATAACGAACCTATTTTGGGCTGTCCAGTAGCGTACACAGTATTTTAAGAATTCGTATGCGAAAAATAAAACAGAAAAAAATCTCTCCTAAAACTCTTCATGTTAAAAAATACCTGGTCTCGACTTAGTGTTCTTTTCAACACACATTCACAGCTATTGCATACGAGCTTCCTGATCGTATTATGACTAGGGACTAGGATAAGTGATCCAGTTATTGCACTAATTCTCCAATGTTTGGCCCTGCGGCCTAACTCAAATTTCAAATAAGTTATCATGCTATTATTCGTGTAGATATAATCCTTGCATGGAAACAAATTTGGTAAAGGAAGAAAAAACTCCTGGGCCAAAAACTGGCTCACTTAACCTATGTAAAGGGTTATACGGTCAAAATTTGGTCAATATCAACTTGACGTATTTCTTTCAATTTTGCATTTAAAAAAACCTGAACACCCCTCATTTTTAAGGTGTGTGTGTGTAGAATGTTGCTCCTATTTTGATTTTGGAATTCACTCTTCAGTTGTCAAAATGCCGTCCAAGCAAGAAGAGCAGCGTATCAAAATTTTGCTCGCGCATCGCGAAAATCCGAGCTACTCGCACGCAAAGTTGGCAAAATCGCTAAAAGTTGCCAAATCAACCGTTACAAATGTAATTAAAGTGTTTGGGGAACGTTTGTCGACAGCCAGGAAGTCTGGATCGGGGGGAAATCGAAAACCGGAAGCCGCTGAGACGACAAAGAGAGTTGCCGGTAGTTTCAAGCGAAACCCTAACCTCTCTCTCCGAGATGCCGCAAATAAGCTGGGTGTATCGTCTACAACCGTGCATCGAGCCGAAAAACGAGCCGGACTATCGACTTACAAGAAGGTAGTGACTCCAAATCGCGATGATAAACAAAATACGACGGCCAAAGCGCGATCCCGGAGGCTGTACACGACGATGCTGACGAAGTTTGACTGCGTGGTAATGGACGACGAAACCTACGTCAAAGCCGACTACAAGCAGCTTCCGGGACAGGAGTTTTATACGGCAAAAGGAAGGGGAAAGGTAGCAGATGTTTTCAAGCACATGAAACTGTCAAAGTTCGCAAAGAAATATCTGGTTTGGCAAGCCATCTGTACCTGTGGCTTGAAAAGCAGCATTTTCATAGCTTCCGGGACTGTCAACCAAGAAATTTACGTGAAAGAGTGTTTGAATAAACGTCTGCTGCCTTTCCTGAAGAAACACGGTTGTTCCGTACTGTTTTGGCCGGATTTGGCATCTTGCCATTACGGTAAAAAGGCCATGGAGTGGTACGCCGCCAACAACGTGCAGGTGGTTCCCAAGGACAAGAACCCTCCCAACACGCCAGAGCTCCGCCCAATTGAGAAATACTGGGCTATTGTCAAGCGGAACCTAAAGAAGACCAAAAAAACTGCTAAGGGCGAGCAGCAGTTCAAGGCAAACCAAATTTTGACCGTATCACCCTTTATGTCGCCAGAAACCATATATCTTGTGCTTTAGAGAAAAAATAGCACTGCAGACCAAATTCGTGTTCCATAAAATTACTATGAATAAAATTGCATAGTATACCATGTTCTGCGTATAATTACGCATTGAAAAAGACAGTCGTACACCTTCAGTAGACCCCTCGGTGTGGTTGCAACCGAACGAAACATACAAAAACTGAACTTCTAAGGATTCCATATGACCACATTTGCAACGTCTTCTGCTCACCTATTTCCAGTTTGTTTTCCTTCAGTTCGCATGCGGTTCCTCCCATTCGATTTAAAAAAAAATCGACGACTGTGAGCCATTACCTTCCAGTGGAACGTATCAGTCCAAATATTACCTCCGTGCCGTTGAAACGTTCATTTCCTCAGTTCCAGACGCGAAAATAGCCTATGAAGTGCGATATTCCACTTTCCCTGTGCTATTTTATCTAAAGATTTTGTTCTGCGATAACAAGGAACACACCACCAGGAGAATTTAATTAACTTGTACCCTAGCGAAACATCACATCAGTGAACCATACTGAATCGAAGAATTCTGTGTCAATACGGTTGAATTGATCATGACCGTGCTGGCCATAGTACTGTGCACCATCTATCTATACTTTGTGTGTGAATATTTTCTCCTAGGTGGTAGAGAACTACCGCAATCCGCAAAACTTTGAACACGTGGAGCAGCAGCCAACGAAGCAGCAACCGGAAGTGGACAAAGCTGGCCCTCCGACGACCGGAGCGACATCGGCGGGTTCAGCACCGGCCACCGGAACTACCTTCGACATCAATCATAACAAAGTTCCTGGTAAGTGTGTGGGAAAGCTTTTTCCCAAATCAATTACACTGGCAATTGTTGTCCTCCTCTGTTGAAATGTGTCCTGTTCAAATATGTTTAAAGTGTAAAAATGTTCCATATTAATGTGATAAGTTGCAAAAGTTTCGTAGGTTCAATAGGAATAATTATTTAGAATTGCATGAATCTTATACTAACAAACACTGATCTGTAGACACCCGACAAAGAGTTTACCGATTTCATCGAACGCATGTAAGATACCAGATTCTACGTTCTAGCACCATTTGGATCAGAGGTAATCAAACCAATTTTATTAGTTGTGCAAAGGTGTGATACGCTTACAGATTGATGGTTTGCAGCGGATACATTTTGAGGCCTTTTGAGAGCTTTGTATATATTCTCGTTTTGAAATTGATTGAAAGGAAAAAAAGACAAGATATTTCGATTACCAAGCAAATCTAAAGAACTCTATGTCCATGGCTATAGATAGAAAGATTAGCCTACTTTGGCCATTGTTTGCACAGGGCATGCTGAGACTAGGAAATTTGCGAGTAAATCCTCTTCGCGTCGTTCAGTATCATGTTTTCGTAGAAGGCCGTGCGCTGGCGCCCCTTCGATTTTCTTTTGCTAACTACATATCTAGCTATAGATTAGACAAGTTGAGGTACCGGTACTTCTTAAATTTTATACTCTCCTAATTACGATACTTACATGCTTATTCACTATTGAATTACAATATGGTACACCAAAACTAGGAAGTACGAAACTTGACGCTCTTGGCCCTGACAGGTAAACCAAATAACCAAAGTCTGGAAGTCATAAACTGAACCCAAATGACAACAGTGGAAGGGAAGAATAATTGCATTAAAGTTGTCACCGTCTGAGGTTCGCCATGTGTAGAAAATTCGATTGATTTTGAGACTTTCGCAAACTTGCCTTTCATGGGCGTGGGTTGTAATGTAATTATAGCTACGCAGTGATTTGTTATTTTGTACAATCAATAAAAAAAACAGGTCAAAATTTTAAACGCTTCAAGGACGTGGGCTACTGCGATTGGCAAAATGCTAAAGATGGTTGAGGTTATGGTTCTGCATATTTCGCAATGACGCTTTACTTGCTTCCCTTTATTGAGGTGGATGCGCTTTATTGAACTTTCTTCCTTATAGGGATCTCTTAAATCCAGATTTTCTAGTGTCATGAAGTGGTATATACTTACAATGGAGAATGTTTTGTTTTCTTTTCATTTTGCAATCATTAAGGTAAAAGCCTGTTGAACGAAGCCAACCTAAGACAGATGTCGTTGGATGTAAGTAGTATAATATGTTTCCAATTTACGCCCATTATATACGAAATGTTGCTTTCCAAACAGAAGGAGTTGAAGGAGGATCTTTATGGCCGGTCGCTTTCAGAATCAGACGAGTCGTATCTGAGTGACTACATCCAGAAGCATACAGTGCCTTTGCCGGATTTGTCAGATACCACAGGGTCGGGATCAGGCCCTGAGGATGATCTACTATCCCTCAAATCAAACACTACCGATGGAACTTGGGAGGAGAATTGGTTATTCAAAAAACGACAGCTGAAAGCAACCGAATCTTCAATTGCCATGCTGGTGCCATCTCCAACCGAAGAAGTTAAGGCTCTGATCGGCGATAAGAATGCTGATGAAGTCAGTGATCTTTCTGAGGCTGGATCCGATGTTGAGGACTACGATTCAGATAGCAACCATAAGAATACTACCACAGATCCTAGTAGTTCCACTAGGAAAACAGAACAATCACTTGAAGACCATGTCCAGGACAGTTTAATTTCGATAAACTCAATCGCTTCCAATGAGCCGGTTCTCTCGGAAGCCAAGAATGATCTGTTACTGAAGGAACAATCTTTTCCACTCGAAACTTCTAATCATCTGGTAGACGACCTTATCAGTATCGATCCCAGTTCGGAGAAAACGGAAGCTGCCAATCCGGCATTGGTGGATAGTGAATTGAATTCGTTCCTGTTCGGTCCCGAATCGGTACTTGTGGAAGAAAACAATAATATAGTCAAGCAACATGAAGTGGAAACAGATGACGTCAAACTCATGCAGGAACTTATCCAAAATGCTCCGAAGCACAGTGACACCGATGGAAATGTACAATATCCAATCGGTATCGCTAGGTAAGTGAGATTAGAATTGACGTAATCAAGCTTCTTGTAGCTTAGCAAACAGCTTGTGCCTGTGCTTTATCTTTCAATGTTGTCTTGTTGGGTTTCGTGAACATTGCTTGTGTTTAGGACTGAAAAATGTTCTAATCAATGAAACTATTCTCTCGAAACTTTCAGAACAATCCCAGTCGACAGACCAACCGCTGAGTGTGACCGAAAAGAAATCCCAATAGAAACAGGTAAGCGTGTATTTCAGTTCACTGTTACATACGTAGATAGAAAACCTGCTAGTTAACCCTCTATAGCACGCTTTCACGAGCTTATCCATTGTCAACAAATAATAAATAGAAAAAATATAAAGCTTAATGTTTTCTAGCAATCACACTAACACTCTTACTCTATACACTCTCCCCACAAACTGATCACACACAGCACCACATAACACCGAACACAAAACTAAACCCAATGTAACCGTATCCGAAGTAGATGTAGATAACCCTAGTAATCCACGTAGCAGAAATCTTAACCTTAGCATTAGCCCTGATCAAACCCACCTGGAAGGCAAAACCACAACGATCCTAGACAACATCAGGAAACCCGATCCCAAACCTCCAACTTCCGCTGAGCCGCTATCACCACACCCGATCGCCCTTAACATAACGGAAGTTTACGAACGCTCCATGAAACCTCCGCTAATGTCTATTTCAGAGGAAGACCTGGAATCGAACGCTTCAACAGCCTTCCGTTCGATCCTATCGCCTTCCGACAGTGTGACTTCTACGGCTGATGAAAGTGATTACAAAACCGTCTCCCAGAATGAATCGAGTGCGACTACCACAGCAGAGGCCGACACCGATAACAGTTTGATGTTGGATAGCCTACCATCGCAACATTCGTTGGATTCTTCCGCAGAAAGCAGTCGGCATTACAGGGAGGAGGAATTTAGTTCGATTAACATCGGCCATGAGGGACAAGAGTCAGACGAAACATCGAAACCATCCCTGGAGCTGCTAGAGTTGAACGAAGCATCTTCGGGAGCAGTTTACGTATGCGACAAGAGTAAGTTGGAGTTTGCCGAGCAGTTGAAGGAACTGAGACAGCAACAACAGCATCATCCGGAGTCTGAGGAAAAGAAAGAAAATATGGACAGAAACGAAAGAATCTACGTGGGGCATGATTTAGTAGCATTTAATAACAATGCTTCCAGTCCGGAAGAAATGAAGGAACAAAAAGATCGATCATTGCAAAATTCGCTAACCATAGATCAAACAAGAGATGAAGTCACCATACTTGAGCAACAAACAGCAAATACGACAGAATCAGCAGGTGACAAAGCAACCATTGAAAATCCAAAGGATCAGCAAACCACCCTGATCGAAGAAGGCGTTGAAAAACCGTTGCACGTATCGCTTAGCTATGAAACTGAAACACAAGTCATTGACTTGAAAGCTGAATACGAGCAACCTGAGAATCAATGCTTGCCAATCATTGCAAATCCTACGCAAATCATAGATCCTGATTTGCTCGAATATGTGGAAAATCCAGAACTAAATGACAAAACTGCTGCGGAATCTGCAACAATTCACTCAAGTTTGATCGATATAGATTTTAACGATTCAACTCATAATGGATTGAAAGAGAAGTTAGTTGAATCAGATCACCAAAAACAAGATCTTATAGATGAAATCACTGAACAAACACCTCAACAAACTTTATTGCATGCTACAGAAGTATGCTTAGAAACAACCAAAGCCAAAACTGAAGAACTTGTTATTGTTTCTGAGACTGCGGTAGAAACTGCAGAATCAGCTCTATTACAAAATGTGGAATTGGAATCAAGTCCCATAAAGACGTTGGAATGCATTGATCTACTGGGGGACATACAAGCCAGCGATCAAATAACAGATGGTTCATTGCATTCACCTTCCTTACAAAGTGCACCATTGCCAAGCAATGACTCTATAAATAAATATTACTTTGATGAAATATCAGCTCAACTTACGATGGAAGTAAAGGGCGATAAAAGTCAAAGAGATTCTTGCGCTACAGCTTTTGAAGAAAATAATAGAAATGAAGAAAGTGAATTCGAGAAGTCAAATTCAGAAACAGAAACACAGGAAAAAGACAAGAAACCACAAGAAATTGAACCAACTCTTGACGTGACTCATACTGAATCCAAGAACGATTCCAAAACAGACCCAGATCGGAATTTGGATCAGAAATTATCATCGCAAGAAATAATCTTAGAACAGAATCACACAGAAGATGTAAAACCTAAAAACGAAGAGAACGTTGAAACAAAAATTGTATCCGATGTTCTGAATGCTCATTTGTATTCCGAACAACAGATCTCGAAACCTTGTGAGAACCTAGAAACATTCAGTGTGGATTCGAATGATGAAGTTAAGAACCCCGAAGCTACATTTTTACACTCCATTTCGGAGGAGTCAACCTTCAGTTCTTCTACGTCTGAGTTCACCTCTACAGAACCTGAATCGATCAAAAGCACAGAAAATAAAACAACGTTGAACACTGACCCATCTAATGAACTTACAGATCAATGTGAACAAGCTACAACCACAAACGAACCATTGAACAAGAACGAAGTCACTTCTGATCTTGAGCAAAATTACGCTTTAACTGTTCATGAATACACTGGTGACAAAAGATTAGCAGATGTTGTTGCTCCTACTACCTCGGTTGATTCAGCTGTAAAACTTGACGATGAACTAATTTCCTCTTCAAACATCGAAACTACAACTTCAGAAAACCTCGAGAAATCTTCTGATCCACAAAACCAGCCTCCCGAAAGAACTCAAACCTGCGAAGCAATCGTGACAGACTCTGAACATCATGAGCGTCTCAGTCCCACTCCTGGTTCAGTGCCTAATCCGCCTGACATTCTTCTAGGTACCACTGAAGCATTAGATGAGTCCGACAGTGAGCATCTGAAATCGAATGACGGTTTACCAAGTCAATCTGGATCATCTAGCCCGACGGACACGTCAACGGAAGCCATCGCCGGATCTGTCGACAGAGCATCTAGTCCGGAAGAATCTTATTCTGCTCTCACAGACGAAAAATCAACTATTTCCAACGGACAGCTGAAGCTACAAGACTCAGAACAACTGTTTTCCTTAAGCCGAACCCCTTCTCCAGAAAAAAGACGCCATTCTACTCCGATCGCTATTGTGACACAGCAGATGCGACAATACTGCGAGGAGCTGAAGGGTATTCTTTATCCTCCAAAGTCACCTGAGACTGAAACAGAAGTAAAGCCACAAACACCTGAAAACCTTGATGCTCTACAGCTCTTCCAGGAAGAACTGCGTGCAGCTAACGAGGATCCCTCCCAGTGTGATGTCAAACCATGCAAGGATCATCCTATACAAGCAATTCCACCCAATGAAGGTAACGTTCCTGTTTCGGGAAAACTACTCACACCTATGGAAGAATTTGCTATTAGAACAGCAAAATACAATCACATTTTACGTAATATAGACTACGTTGAAGAGAGTGTTCCCATAGCAGAAGAAGCCGAGTGCTTGATGACGCAAAATGTAGAACAATCCACCGTTGATGCCGTATTAATGGTTACCCCAAGTGCAGAAGAACACGCTGTTAATGAAGCGATCGTTGTTGAGCACACACCTACACCAGAACCAGTAGCTTTGACACAAGTTTCCTACGAACGGCAGACCACCTCCACTGTCGAGGAGCTGGAAACCGTTTATCATCCAAATGATTCATTTGATTTTCCACCACCACCACCTCCAGAGATCCTGGAGAAAGTTGACGAACTCAATCAATGCGATCCGGAGATTTCTTCGCTATCAATACCGCTTGCCACGGTTTGTGTTTTAACTAACAACAGTGACACTAACCTCACCATTATTGTTGATACTACTAACAACGCGAATGATCAACAACCGCCGAGCTTCCTCTCGGAGGCATCTATTTCGATAGAAGAACCAGACTCATCTCAATCCCAACAAATTCCAGCACAATCTGCACCGGAGAAACAGAAACCATCGGAACTGGCCAATGGTCACGTTCCAACGACAACCAATGGTTCCACGGACGATTCCGGAGAGGAAGAAAAGCTTATACCTGGTAAGTGGGAACTAGTACAAAATCATAAGATCGATCATTACAGTTGATCACACCATTAGGATCCATTGCCGAGCGTGAGCACTTGAAATGGCGGAACGCTTCACCTATCGCCAACAATCCGTATTCTCCAGATGTGTTACAGAAACGGCTGGAAGAGTCGAACAGAAAATCAAGTATGTTTGACTTTGATCGGTTGGCAGATAGAGCGCTCACATCCCCGACCATGGAAGTGCCTGATGAACCTGAACTCGTCTTGGCTTCCAAGGATGATGATGATACTGCTGAGAAGGATCGTTCGTTGCAATCCGTGGTTGGAAGCAATCCAAATCGATATCAAAGGTAAGAAATATTGTGACAACCTTAGTACTCAGCTATGTCAATTGAATCTTTCACACAGATACGGTAGAGATTACTACATAAATGACGCCAAGCGTGCTTGTGGATCGCGAAAGGAGACACCGGATCTATCGGGTCAATTAACGCACAGTACCGACGACGAGAAAGTGAGTCAACAATCCTATTACCTAACAACCAATTCCTACATCATGGACAAGTTCTTAAACAACGATCATACTCCATCACAAAGTGGACCAACCTCTGTTTCAACATCGGTTTCCCCTCAACCACCACCGTCCCTCCGATCTACACGTAGTATTCCTAGACAGAACCGAGCCTCTCCACGTCCGGCTTCAGTAGATCTAGGTTACTTTACGAAAGCCTCATCCAACGCGGATAGTGAGGTTGATATCCCTGCAAGTGTCATATCTCAATTTGAACAGGAAATGCTTCACAGCAATTTCAAGCGAGACAGTTTCCGTGCTAGAAACTCTTCTACGCGACAGTTTGTCTTGAACCCCATTTTTGATGAATCGTCCAATCCTGTATGTCTAAATGAACAACCGATCGAGCCACAAGAAAAAATCCGCACTCTTCCCCGCAGTTCTTCCACAAAGCAGTATGATCGATTCTTTAGCATTCCTGTGCAGGTCAGTCCCGTAGTGGAAACCGTATTTACCGATCTGGGAACGCTGCGCCGAGGTGCCAGTGTTCGCAGTCGAACGGAAGAACATTCACGTCCGTTCGTGAATAGAAGTAGTAGTTGTAGATCCAATATCAGTAAATGATAACGGTGGTGGTTTAGCGCTGAAACTATATTTGAAAGTTTAGGGAACTGTGCCAAAACAAGTCTTTATTAGGAATACAGGTTTTTAAACAGTATACATTATAAGTAGATATCCATTTATTCCCATTACCTACCATAGTGCAATCATAAGTTATGCATGTAAATATGTCCAACATATAAAATAATACTGCTTTAGACCAGTGTTTAGTGATTATTAGAAGATCAATTGGTGAAGAATAAAAGCAAATTTTACAGTTATCGTTACGAACCAAACAGTTTTTCTACGTACACACAAACAGAACAGAACACAACACAACCAAAGAAACACTGTCAGTGATCATTTTCAGACCTGATCCAACCGGTAAGTCCACCCGCTCAATGTTATTAGCTTCGTGAAAATGTTCTAGCGTAAGTCCCATGTACCCAAACCATGTTTAATTTCGTTCAAGTCCGTAGTCTAGAGGTGACGGTATAGATATCATTTACACAAAAATAAACAGACACCGGTAAATGTATATTCACACGGTTCTACAGTCATACACCGTCCTAAATATGCATAACTAATAATCTTAGAAAAGCGACAGAAATCATATTACACTGGGATCATGTAAAAATTTGCTTTCTAGTTCTTCTCCAAGCGAACGTCTTCTAATAATACTAACCATTGTTGTAATCGAAGATTTAACCAAATCATAGGAGAAGAAGAATCCCATCAGAGTTTCATCTACAGCTCTTAATATCTCCCCGAATTTCGCGCACAATTGTTTCTGTGATGTACATACTGATTCAATATTTTAGAACTCCGCTTCTCAGTACTAAAGTTTAAAATTTATATTACAAACCTTCGGATCATGTTACCAATATGCTCTGAACGTAACTCAAGTGGCACGCTTCCGTCACAATAAGTTGCAGCAACTGGGATGTAACCTGCACTATCTTGTGAAAAGGGCTGGAGCACATCATAAAAAATTTATAAAATTATAAAAATCAGATTGTTTTGACCAAATAGTGGATTTTTTACCATGTATTTTTTATGCGATAGCCATCTATTTGCCTATAACTTTAGCTCAGACGTTATTCCGATTTGAAGTTATGTTTTCATGCAGTGATTTATTCACAAAATATCGAATTCGCCATCATCTTATCGATTCGTAAGTTGGCGTGGAAATGCTCTAAATTCAATTATCAACTGTCCTCTTTTTAAATATGCGTTCAGTACATATGTTATGATTAATTCAAACCTTTCTTAATATCAATTTCCATAAATGTAATTTCAAGTAAAATATACCGATAATGTATTCAAACACGGGAAAAAATCTGATGCCATTTTCATGAATAAAAAATCATGGAATCAAAAGACATGCCATTCATGATTTCATAATGCAGCGGAATCATGACCACTTCAAGCATTACCTGGAAAACCATGTTTACCGCACTACATAGGTATCTCTTATACGCGTTTTGCCTTCCTGATAGTCTAGTGATCAACGTATGGGTTTAATGATCGTAAGGTTCTTGGTTCGAATCCAGCCTGTTGCTTTATTTTATTTTATTTTTTTTACATATGATGGTTAAAATCTAGAAGATAAATTCATGAATTTAGTTCATGGTTTTAACTCGGTAATCTTGAGTGCGTTACGCAAACATAGCTCATGATATCATGAATATTATTCATGGTGTATTTTCATAACAGGAAAATACGCTTTGTTCATGAAATCATGAGTTATTTTTCTCATTTCGGAGATCGGATTTTTTCCCGTGTACCAAGATAGCCATGCTACAATATGAACGTAATATAATCATATAGGTAACTAGAAGGTCCCGAAGAAACGTGTTCAACTTTTTGGCTCAGCTCTGGTATTATCTTCAATCCCAAGCTATTCGATGGACCCCTCGAAACATATGAAAATCCACGAACCCCTCATTTTATCTGTCAAATTTCCATAGCAAATCAAAACAAACATAGTGTAGTACTGGAATTTTAGCTAGAATGGGATACGTTAATCGATTTGCTTGGGACCAATAGGCTAGTCAAGTAGTAAGGCAATTTAAAATCGTTTGGTATAATGATTCTATATGATATTGCATTATATATAGGCTGTAATGATATCAAACAAGGGAAAATGGCTCAAATATTTATCGTAATTAAAAATTGAACTAAACCGTCCCACTTCTAAACATATATGTTTTTTTTTAATGCTTTATTAAAGAGATTTTTAGCCTTAGGCTAGTTCATCTCTAACTTCTAAACATAAGCTTGGATCCAATTTTGATGACATTTAGGCAGACGTTAGGGACATTAACCTATATTATATTATATTCATGGCAAATTTGTCGTATGGGTATTCAAGTTAGCTTACAGTTAACAGCTGTGAAAGTATTTGAAGAATTACTGATGAAAGCAGGCATAAAGTGCCAGTCGAGCCAAGGAGAACTTTACTAGGAATATAATAAAACCTGTGCACGGTTAGAATTGCACATACAAATATAGCTGTAACTTTTGAACTGCTTTACCAAAGCCAAACATTTTCAGAGAAGATTATTAAGAGACTACAAATCATGTAAAAAATTTATTAATTAAAAAACGATCTTTAGCTCAGGTTTTAATCAAAATAACAAAAAGTTGAATGAAAAATGTTACGGATGAAGTGCATATTGATCATCAATTTAGCACACAGGCCTTTCAATGGAGGCATCGTGGAGGGATAGCCTTTTAAATTTACGGAATGTTATGGTGTTTCACTAAAAAAAACCCCAAAGGTTAATTTTACCTCCAGTTTCCTTACAGTTGTGAAACTTTTTTTTATGATTTAACAGCTTTTTTTTTCATTTAATGTTTAATTTGTTTACAGATTTTGGAATCTGTGATAGTGTGATAGAAATTCCTGTTTTTGTTTGAATTGAAGTTGATTTTTTATGTAAAAATCATTCTGAATTGTGAAGTATAATTTCAGTCCAATATTTATTTTGAAATAGAAAATTTACCAAACTCTATGGGTCGTGCCTTCTCGCGACAATTAGTTTATACCTGAATTGACTGTTGCTTTGTGTGCTTTACTACCGCTTGCTACCGTACGTTCAGATCTGAATTCGAAGTGTATTGGCAACAACGCACGCACGAACGAATGAAAGCTGTATTAGAACAGTCGCATCTATACCCGCTTTGCTAAAATCACCATACGTGGTGAACCGAATTGGCTGTATTTATACATTTCTTTATGACCATGTTTTCAATGTTTCTGTCACCATGACAGCCTTCACAAACCGACGACATCCCTCAGCTTACCCCATGATCCCGAACAGACATGTCGGCCCGATGTTGGATCAATGCAAGGTCAATTTATGATCGACGTAGGCCAAATATCGTGCCGATGTCTTGTCAATTCTGTGTTTATGTCGGGTCAATGTTGGGCCAACATCGGGTTGGGGTTTGGTAGAAGTCAGGTTGGTGTCGAGTAGGCTTATTTTTTTCGCCGGGATGTCGGAATGTCTGATCTGCTCAATTTTAAAAAAATATCGGATGCAAATTTTGCAATGGGCAGCACGAACGTGATAGCAACCGAACGAGCTTCGGCGTCACACTGATAGTGTAGTAACGGTCTCACGACATACGAATAAAAAATCAAAGACAGCTGCAACGAATCGGCAGTTTGACGGACTGCTTGTTGTATGTACGAGGAACGTTACGAATGACGATCCGAGGCTGGCATACACTGAGGCAGATAGACTACAGAATTTCATAAGGCTCGACTTATTAACGACACATATGAATTTCATAAGCACGACTTATGAAAGATTTTCGTCTAACCTAAAGTAGCTCCTATAGAGCTTTTTGACGTTTAATCGGCGCACACTACTGTACCATTTAAAGCGAACGAGTGCGAGCAAGAGGGAAACAGATTAGTGGGGAAACAACCGTCCATTCATCCATGGGTGCTAGATAGACAAAGATGATTAAACGTCAAAAAGGTCTATACGCCTTTAGCCTTTTCATTTACTCAAGCGTTGACAGACGAGTGATCTAGACACAGGACCCATAATCTCAACGTCCATGATTCGGTTCCAGTCTGCTCCGTTTGATTATTTTTCATAAGGCAAATCTATGAAATTCATATCAATTTATTGGGGCCTCCCTTAGCTCAGTCGGTAAAGGCGCAGCTACAAAGCAAGACCATGCTGGAGGTGGCTGGGTTCGATTCCCGGTCCGGTCTAGGAATTTTTTGAGTTGGAAAATTTCTCGACTTCCCTGGGCATAGAAGCATGATTGGACTTGCCACACAATTAAATATACCAATGCAAAAATGGTACAGGCATCGAAAGCTCTCAATTAATAACTGTGGAAGTGCATCTAGAACACTAAGTTGAGAGCACGCAATAAGC